GCTCAATTTACAATTAACCAACACAAAGTGTAGACCGCTTAGCTGTGCTTCCCAAACTTAGGAAGTTTCTCTCCCAAACCTTCTCCTTACTCCAACAGTAAACCTCATGATGCACCATCAGTACAGTTTGCTGAAGTCACAGAACGATGCCCAAAATGGACCTGTCACCATAACAAGCAGAGTGCCCATCTCCTTCAATGAAAGACCTCCAAAAACATAGCGGATGTCCCCCTACTTAATTCATTTAGACTAGGTTGCCATTCTCATAATTTGTACACACATCATGGTGTTTGGATATTTTCCTATATATGTGTGCTGACTGGTTGCCATTGGTTGAATACTGGGTGCTTTTCTTCATAGCATAGCAAACACATACATTATTAGGCATGCCTGGGCCATCAAAGTGCCAAGATAAAGAGTAATTAAGACACTCGCATCAACTGCACTGAAGACACATAAGTGACAGGTCATGTCGCATTTGGACAGAGCTAGTAACTCCATCTGCCTATTAACAAAAAAAGGAAAAGATTTCTGCTGATGTTGGTTTTGTTCACATAGGATATGTGACACTCACTAGATTTATTGAGAATGACAGAGAAAGAAAAGTTATTTACAATTTGTAAGGTACCGTCTCCACGCTTGGTGGCAGCTGTGGTGACACTCACTAAAAGTCATCAGTCTACCAAATATGTATGAGAAATTGCCTTTTGAATATTCCAATTCTGTCCTTTTAGTGCTTTGTCACTTTTTACAGGGAAGAAAAATAGAAAATTGAACTAGGAACCCTTTCACATCACTCTTATAGCACTTTAATTACACATTTAACCGCCAGGGCAATATCCTATGGAAGCGCTCTCTCTCTCTCTCTATATATATATATACTAGTCGTCCCTTGCCACATGTTGCTGTGGCTCAGTCTGTGTATATGTGTTTTGTGTATGTATATATTTGTGTATATATGTGTGTTTGTATATGTGGGTGTATATATGTGTGTGCATATATGTGTGTGTACATGCATATTGTGTATATATGTGTGTATGTATGTGTATGTATATGTGTGTGTATGTGTATATGTATATATGTATGTGTGCATGCATGCGTGCATGTGTATATGTGTGTATATATGTATATTTGTGTGTGCATGTGCATATGTATATATGTGTGTGTGTGCATATGTGTGTGTTTATGCATATATACATGTGTGTGTATGAATGTGTGCATGTGTATATGAGTGTATGTTTATATGTATATATGGTGTATTTTTGGGGGTTTTAAGTCTGTTCTGCTGGGGTTTTGTGTGTGTGTGTGTGTGTGTTTAGGGGTGATTGGACTGTTAGCTATATTGTGTCCAAATTTGGTGTCAATTCGTCCTGTGGTTTTTGAGTTATGTTAATCCCAATGAACATTGCGTTTTTATTTATATAGATATATATGAGAGAATGAGAGCAATATATACTTGACTCTACTATAGCCAGGGTCACGTTCACACCGCACAATCATAACACTAATGAGTCCACATTAGTGGATTCTTGGGATTTGCCGTTTAGGGGAAAGTGATTAGAACCCTTAGCTAGAGAGCTCTGGTGCCTTACCAAACAACCAGGAATTTTGGTCAGAGGAGTTACATGTGGGGGGGGGGGGGGGGGGGGAGGAATGCTCTCCTTGGCCCATAAAAATGGTCCTTTCCTTTCATGGGGACTTCTTTGGTTAGTCTGAATCCCTTTCTCAGTCAGCAACTGGACACCCAAGTCCACAAAAAGTATAGATACCATTGTAATTCACTCCAAACTATGGAAAATTAATTTCCCATGGATCAAAAGGCCAAAACAGAATAATCACAAATGATTCCGTTCTTCAAACAAATAACCCGATTGTATTGCTGAGTATCTGACAGGTCAAAACCAGGAAGTGAACACTAGAAAGGAGACTACATATTCCTAAAACTAGGCTTTGGAATGTGGTATATATAGTCAATGTTAAGACAGTGTATATTAGTATCTGTTTGTATTTCCAAGGACTTCCTACCTTCTAGCTTCTACCCTTAAAGTGATTTTTGAGTTCCTGATGGTGAAATGCAATTAGCAATATATTTTGACACCTTGAGGGATATGGTTGTGGAAGAGCTCATTACCAGAAATGCTCAAGGAAGAATACCTCAGGGTACAACTTACTCCATATCTCAATGAGCAAACTTATATTCATGTGTAAGGATATCTGAGATGTGAAAATAGTCATGGCAGTGTATTTTTTTTGCTTTATTACATTTATCAGAAAACAATTCCCCGTTGTCTGCTTCCCACAGGGAGAAAAGAACACAGAAGCACTGCTTCTCATAGATTTCTGCAGATTTGATACACCTTCATGTAGTACAAAGTTATGACAGAATCAACCCTAAAAGTGAGGACACATGCGCATCACCTGAGGAAGGAAAAGTGTCACACACTATTCATATCATCACGCATTTCAATGGATGGAAGCACAAGAAGGTAGGACTGGAAGTGGCCCAAATTAGGCTGTGATCCATATCCAATTACAATTGCATACTTGTCGTTAATCCAATGTAATTGCCTGAGGCAATTAACCATTCACATCTTCACTTGAAATTAGCTTCAACAGCAGATGAAGATGCAAGTGTTTCATTCTAATGCAGCATTGAATTAACGGATCTACACAACTGCTATTCGGGAGTGCAATGAACAGCTCATGTTCTTTTAGGCATGTACCAACTTCGTTAGGTGACCCTAACATATATGGTCAGGATAGCTGTGCAAGCCATTGTCCTTTCTGTTTATTTTAACCATCTTTGGGATTGTTAATTCCAATTAAGTAAAGTTAATTTCTTTTTCAATCCCTTTGTATGTTCCCTGTGAATTTTTGAACTGGTATGGTTAGCCCCAAACCAAAAGCTGAGCATTAAACATACATGCCCAGAACACCAACACAAAACAAAAAGCAGTCAAGTCCTAACAGGCATCCAATATGAAAGTTAATCTTTGCAGGAAAGCATTCTGGCTGAAACTGGGATGTCTTCAGAACATGCAACCTTGAAGCGTCACAACTTCTATGAAGTTTAGAAAGCAACGTTAATCTTCATGGCTGAAAAAACATTGCAAACTTGCAGAAAAGTCTCAATGGCGAGTCACGTGACCCTGGAATATTAGGATGGTATCAGGAACTATCGCTTTTACTTGCATTCCTGGGTTCTCAAACAACTGATAACACACAATAAGGGGATTCCCACACATGTAATTCCTAGAACATGCATCTTTCCAAGAGTGCATTATAATGAGCAAAGCATAGCACTGACAAATGGTTATAATCCAATTAACTGGTAACCAGGGTCTTCTGAATAAGGCCATGCACAACTTTTTCCATGCTGAACAGAAAGCTGCAGCCAACCCATCTGTCTGTAGACCTGTTTTGGTCTTATTAGAAGTGGTGAAGAGCTTAACATTCATCAAGCCCTTCCCCTACTGAGAAGCCATCTGCAGAGGAAGTGGCAAGAGAAAACACAACCTTTTCCCAATTCATAGTCTTAGGGTGGATTGGAAAGAACTTGCAAAAATGTTTTTTTTCCACATTAGTATGCAAACATACATACACACAAGCAAGCAATATTCCCAGAGCTGTTCTGGGGCCATCCTGTGGTGCTAACTCTACATATATTGACACTCACATGCCCAACAATACTATGGCTTTGAAGCAGAGCAGAAGAAAAACAGCAGTGTGCATGTGGTGTATCTGAACAGACACTTGAATATTTTAGGCCTATTTTCCTCCCATCGTAGAGTATTTAATCTCGAGCATTTCATATCAGTCTTCCAGTACCAAACTTGCCACACATATCTTATGAGAAGGAGAAGGGGAAAAAGAACTCCAGTTGTTGGATACAAAAATGCTGATTCCCTTCTTGCACAAACTTACCCAAGAAGTTTCCCTTTGAGCAGACATGTTCATCCCAAATGAACATTTTTGCCAAGTCAGCTTTGCAAAGACAGAACTATAGGACGGAATCCATTAAGAAATGATAACTCTGGTACTGGTTGTTGCCAGGACTATATACATCTACTTTTTTTGCTTGGGGATATATAGATAATGCTGGACTACCTTTTATAGACAGCACTGGTCCTTGTACACACACAGACATCCAACCATTCCAAGGTATTATGTGCCAAATAAGAAACAATAACATTCACCTCTTGCGAGGCAACCACGATATTGCATACAAAACCTATTAAGTCAAATTATGCAGGGAAGAATCTGGCAACAATCTGGCTTGCTCCCAGAGCGTATCTCCCTTGCCATAAATGGGAGACACATTGTATGCGTTGTTACTCAAGGACAGTATTAATCTGCAAAGTTTTTCTTTTACAAATCAAGATTCTTTTAAAGCGAAAGTACAAACTTTTTCACTACACAAAGTTGTAGGTAGGTTAGGTAAAACAGTCATGTGTCACTTATGCAAACAGCAGCCTGGCAAGTATTTCTGATTATGAAATGGAAAGACTTTCCTGGATGTACTGGAAATACTGGGCTGGGCTGGGGAAGGAGGATTTAACAAGGCATCAAAACAAGCTAAGCTAGAGAGGCAACTGCTTTTGAGAAGAGCTTTTCAATGGTTACCCTTAAAGTTACGTTTTCCTTCTTAGGACTGGTTCACAAGAGAAACTACAATAATCCTATGCAATAGGAAATCAGTTCCCATTTTGTTCTCTGAATCACCCCAGTAGACTAGGGTCAAGACCACAGGTTTCAGTAGATAGATTCACAGATTCAGTACACAAATAGCAAAAAGATTCCTTGTTCTGAAGCCACATTTTATGAAGCTGAACTAACGCTTCTCGTACCTCAGACAGACAAATCTATCACACAAGCTATTGAGACACAGATGTCTGAGCTGCTGATGTCTAAACTTTGGCAACTCTGAAAGACGGCACTCTTGAAGTAAAAGAATGGGGTTGGCTTTCCCGGGAAAAACAGTAGTTTAAGACACAACTTACCATCAGGCACCTCGTCAGGCCGCTTTCTCTTCTCGTAAACCACAATTATAACAACGAGAATAATGATCTCTGCCAGAATCCCCAGGAAGGGCCACAAAGGAGCCAAGTGGCTGCGAACGCGCAAGATTGTAATTGCTGTCGCATTGCCGACTGAGTTGGTTGCGTTGCATTCATACTGGCCCGGATCCTCATTGATTTGGAGGTTCACAATGATCAGTTCGCTATAGTTGTGTTTATTGTTGATAAAGAAACGACCAGAACTGTTATCAATCGCCTGATGAGAAGGAAGCAGAAGAGCTACGGTGAATACAAGAATTTACAGCAAGGTTCACTCATCAACAAGTACACATTATTTTAACTGGGTTTGGTATTCTTTTATAATGTTCCAACAATGTGGAAAGCGGAAGGGGAACCATTAAGGTAAGAATCCTGAATTCTTTGAATTGTCCCAACTACAGAAGACCCCAATGAATTGATTGCTGAACGATGAGCCAACACTTATGTACGCTATTTTCATTCAATGGATCAGACTGAGAGGACAAGTAGGGATTCAGGCTGCCATGTTAACTAACATTTCCCTACCTTTGAATGGAGAACCCTTGCCAATTTACATCTCAATTAGTCACACACGGATGGTATAGTAGTCAAGGAGATTTTACATCAGATGGAAGAAGACAGAGAAAATTGTGCTTGTGAAAAGAAATCACACACAGCTAAATAACAAACAATTCTCTATACACAAGAGACTTGTCTTCATCATGAACTATCACAGGTGATATGTAAATAGTCACCTGTTCTATGAACAACAGGCTCATGCAAAATATGATATCTACTTGAGAATTTAAACTTTAGGCTTTCTCTGAGAATGAGTACAAGCCTAGTTTTTTTTCCCTTCGGCGTATACTCGAGTCAAGGTTATTTATTATTTTACTTTGTTATTAGTATCATTTTATTATATGAATTATTTTAATATATTAATTATTACATTCACATTATTTTACTCTTATTATTTTATTACATTTATTATTTTACTTTATTTTTATTGTTACTGCATTTATTATTTTACCCCTGTTATTACTGTTATTACATTTCCATTATTTTACTCTATTATTATTATTATTATTATTATTATTATTATTATTATTATTATCCTGACACAAAAACACAGTATGACACAGCAAAAGAGGTATATATGCTGGATTTCATTATTATTATTATTATTAATTATTATTATTATTATTATTATTTTACTCTCTTTATTATTATTGGAAGGATACATAAGCACATTTACACTGAAGAAGATTAGAATAATGATTTAATCAGAGTTGGGCATTCTTATCTTAAATTACAGTRTTATGTAAATATTGAAAAACAATTAACCTACTGATGCCTCAATTAATGTAATTTTATTGATATCTATTTTTATTTTGAAATTTACCAGTAGCGGCTGCATTTCCCACCCTCAGCTTATACTCGAGWCAATAAGTTTTCCCAGTTTTTTGTGGTAAAATTAGGTGCCTCGGCTTATATTCGGGTCAGTTTATACTCGAGTATATACGGTAATACTAGTAAACACTCCCACTTTCCCCAACTTCATGTATTTATTTTCCTAACAGGAAAGTCAAGCTTACCTAGTGGTGTTCCATTTTATACTCACCACAGAAACATCATTTATCTTCTTATACCACATCCATTCAGGGTGCGGGAAACCTGCAGATTTGCAATACATCAGCGCCTCTTGACCTTCGTTCTTGTTCTCACTTCGTTTGTGCCCAATAATGTCAGGAATAGCTAACATAAAGACATGCAAAGGAAAAGAAGAGGAGGTGATGAAAAATGTACCCCCATGCCCTCTGAAAAAGTTCCAGAGATAAATAAACACATATTCAAACCCCAAGGCCCCCAGTAGATTGAATGCAAAAAGTTTTGCAGTGCTAATCAAGTTGATTAGCTGCAACATTCACACTTGCCTCCAACAGACAAGAGTTCTTTCTCCCACCCTGGACATTATTCCACAGATATATAAACCCCCATTTTCCTAGTTTCCAACAGAACTCACAACCTCTGAGGATGCCTGCCATAGATGTGGGCGAAACGTCAGGAGAGAATGCTTCTGGAACATGGCCAGACAACCCGGAAAACTCATAGCAACCCGGATTTACATTTGTTACAAACATTTATTACAAACCAGCAGAAATGTCATATTAGTGACATAAAAGTTTATATATTCATCAAAAGTTAAAGCAAATTTCCACTAACTTTAAAAGCCAGGTTTTGGTGTTCAGGTGGGGAGAGTGGGAAAAATTATGCCGGCAACTGTGACAAATTGCTTCTTCCAGTCAAGAGTTGACAATATTGTATGGTTCTGGCTCACTAGGATGCTTCTTGTGTGTTTCCAAGTGTATGTTTTGCCTTAATAGAATGGCATCATTGGAGCTTTGTACAAACACAGCTCTTCTATTTTATTATTATTATTTATTTATGACATTTATATGCCGCCCTTCTCACCCCGAAGGGGACTCAGAGTGGCTTACAAGATACATATACATACAATATATTATATCATTAGCATAGCACAATATCAATATTACATATTACTATATTGTACTACACCATTACATTGTAATATTATTAGTAATATTACATGTAATATAAATATATAATTATAATATCACATTATTAGTATTATATTGCATTACATTGTATTATAAATATTACATGTATATACAATATGTTATATTTTAAAGCTTTGATTCCTTTATTTTACCTCCCTTGCAATGCAATAAGAGACCTTGTTCAGAAGCTATATCTAGATGAGAATGAGGGTTCCTGTACACAAGAATTACGTTCCGTTTCTCTTGAAGATCCTATCGTGTCCAAGCCGTGCCAATGCCATTCACTTGTCCATTTGTGTGACTTCCAAGTCCTGCTGCAGTGTAATACCTTGAAAGATTACATGAGATCAATGAACTGCCTGAAATGAACCTTCACTTAGCAGATGGCTTGGTATGCTTCAGTTACCACCTTTAAAACCCATTCGCTTTCTAGGCAGCTAATTATGTCACACGTGTCCCGCTAAGCAACTGCTGGGCCCTGAGCTGTTAATCCAGTCAAAGTCCAATCTGAGCCCTTGACAGAACACAGGCACCGGAAGTTATTCACAGGCTGGCTTGCTCACCAATAGGCACAAGGGAATATGGAATCACCACAGAAATTTACTCTGTTGGTAATGGTGGAAATCATGTTCACAAAAAACACATCATAATTCAGCAATGCAAGCACAGGAAAGATCTCAACTGGACATTATACACTTGCTGCATCAAATCATTATGATTTGCAACCAACACTTAGAAGCCACAGATCCTCTAAGGCAGGCCTGGGGAAACTTTCTAACTTGGGGGCCACATGCCAGCCACTCCCTGAGAGGAGGACTGACTTGCCCAGTGATGGAAGAAAGAAAGGAGAAAGGAAAGAGAGAAGGAAGGAAGGGCAAAAGGGGGGAGGGAAGGATGGAAAGAAAGAGGGAAAGAGGGAAGGAGGAAAGAGGGAAGGAAGGAACGGTGGGAGGGAAGGAAGGAAGTAGGAAGGGAAGGAGAAAGGAAAAAGATAAGGGAGGGAAAAAGGATGAAAAGAAGGATGTAAGGAAGGAAGGGGATAAAGGAAAGATAGAAGGAAGGAAAGAAGGAAGGGAGCGAAGGAAGGAAGGAAGGAAGAAGAGAAGGAGAAAGGAAAAAGAGAAGGGAGGAGAAAAGGATGAAGAGAAGGATGTAAGGAAGGAAGGGAAGGATAAAGGAAAGATGGATGGATGGATGGATGGAAGGAAGGAAGGAAGGAAGGAAGGAAGGAAGGYAGGAAAGAGGGAAGGATGGGAGGAGAAAGAGGGAGGGAAGGAGGAAGGAAAGAATGACGAAAGGGGTGGAAGGAGGGAAGGACGAAAGGGTGGACGAGAAGGATGGATGGAAGGAGGAAGGGATGAAAGAAGGAAAGATGAAAGGGTGGAAGGGAAGGAGAAAGAGGGATGGAAGGAAAGAGAGAAGGAAGGATAGGATAGTGGAGTGAGAGAAGGGCCTGAGAAAAGAGCCCAAGGGGCTGTATCTGGCCCCCGGGCCTAGGTTTGCCCATACCTGCTCTAGGGTCATTTCATCTCCCTCCCTCCCTCTTTTTTTTCTGCTATAGTTTTCCATTTTCTTAAAACCAGCCTGGTTATGAGCATCCGAAATTTTCTAAAATTTGATCTTCACAAAATGGCATAGTAGTTACTATTGGAAATGAGAATTTAAGTTGATCTTTGAAGATACCATTTGAGGGAAATATTTTTTTCTCCTGGATACAGATGTATATTGTATCCACTAACATACCTATTTTACATCCTTATCTGCCACTCTTCATGTGATGAGAAATTGCTTGCCTGATCATTGATTGACAAGTATTTTGAACTGACTCAATAACCTTTCTTTTCAATGATTCTTTTTTTCTAAAGTGATTCAGAAATGAAAGACCTGCTTCATGATCCTTAAGTTAAGTTCTATTTAGTTTGGCTATACTACCACTCAGTTAATTGGAAAAATAAGGAAATAAGGAGTGTGCAGACTTCAGTTCCAGATATTGTGTTGATGGTCAACTAAACTTTCTACTGCCTGTGATTTTTAAAAAAGCACAGATGGTGAATTTAGCATTTACTCTACACGGCCACTTCAAGGCTGTGTCCAAATTAAGTAAGAAAATTCTGCAGTTCCCTAGAAGGAAGTGTTACTTTGGTGAATTGAGCCGACTTTTGCTTACCTAACAATTTACTACCAAGACTGTATCTAAGACTAATCTATCCAGTCTAAGATTCCCTCCCCCCTGGCCACACACCCCTAATACGATCTAGCTTAAGGATTTCTTACACATTTCTCCTCCAAAGCCGGAGATAAGACAAAGGTCTGATAAGCAGAGAAAGACACAATTCCGTCTTTCCTTTAAGCTTCTGAGAAAGATGAATGAGCAAAGCCAGATGTTACACACTACAGCTTCAATGTTTTCATCCAAAACTGATACAGATACCTGGTTCAAGAAGACTTCACACAATCATCATGCTTTAGATAAGGCTAAAGATTGCTCTCATCCTGCTCAATGGTTTCCAGACTAGCTTATTTCTTATACATTATGAAGAGAAGAATTCAAAGATTCAAAACAGAGCTCTTTTGAAATCGGGTCATTTGTGATTACATGTGAATTTTCCCATTTTATTTATTTATTTATTTATTTATTTACTATGCTTCTATACCGCCATTCTCAGCCCAAGTGCGACTTACGGCGGTTTACAAAACGGCACAATTCGATGCCCACAACAGTACAAAAATAGTTTAAACATTAAAAACATTTAACACAGGTAAAAAATTAATTACAACTAACATCAGTAACACAATAAAAACCATAAGTCCTCCGCTTTTCATTACCAGTCATTATCCAGTCACGTTGTCCAACCGTTCCGAGATCAGAGTTTAATAGCTACACTGCGTTTGTCAGTTTTCTAAAAAAAATAACGTCCAAGAGGTCTTGTAGATTATGTCCTACGCATTTCAATTTACAACATTTAAAACATAGTTATACATCTTACCCTTGGGAACAAGGATTGGAATAAGGACTACATTGTTCAAAATACAACATTCAGGTACGTAAAGGTAAAGGTTTTCCCCTGACAATAAGTTCAGATGTGTCCGACTCTGGGGGTTGGTGCTCATCTCCATTTCTAAGCCGAAGAGCTGGCGTTGTCCATAGACACCTCCAAAGTCATGTGGCCAGCATGACTGAATGGAGCACACCTTCCTGCCAAGGCGGTACCTATTGATCAACTCACATTTGCATGTTTCTGAATTGCTAGGTTGGCAGAAGCTGGGCCTAACAGCGGGAGCTCACCCCACTCCCCAGATTCAAACTGCCAATCTTTCAGTCAGCAAGTTCAGTAGCTCAGAGGTTTAACCCACTGCGCCACTAGCTGCTTTAGTAAGTTATAAATGTGTCTAGCTAGAAAAGCAATGGAGGTCTTAGTTTCTCCATACCATGAAACAACATAACATGCAATGAAATCAATGGTATTTATGTTAATATTTATTTTATTTTATTTATTTACTGTATTTGTATACCGCCTTTCTCAGCCCGTAGGCGACTTAAGGCAGTTAACAGGGTAAAATTCAATACTGTACAATATCATACATACAATTAAAAACATAACATATAATAAAAACTAAACGTATCAATAAAATATACATTCATGGTGTCGCCTTGTTAAAAATGTTGTCCGGACTCATTGTCTAGTTGTTCCATTTTCCTATATTAGGTACTCTGCATTTGGAAACGCTTGTTCAAAAAGCCATGTCTTGACTTTCTTCCGGAATGTTAAAAGGAAGGTGGCCAATCTAATATCTATAGGGAGGGCATTCCACAGCTGAAGGCCACCGCCGAGAAGGCCCTGTCTCTCGTCTCCACCAAACGTACTTGTGATGAAGGTGGTAACGAGAGCAGGGCCTCCCCAGATTATCTTAAGGTCCTAGATGGTTCATAATAGGGCTAAGAAACCTCATTCATTTCATCAGGCCAGCCTAAGAAGAATTATATTGTTTATCCCATTGGAAATAAAGATATTCAAAGCATTAAAAGATAGTGGCTTATGGTTGTCTTCATTCCCTTGTTACATTTTGCAATTCATGATTATTTATCAGTAGGTTTGAAGAACATTCCTACTTCCCAATCCTTGACATCAGCTTCACTGCTGTCACTAAAATTCAGTTACAAACCACAGAAAACTGTTTTAAAATATGTACTGGTACTTCTTGCTTAATTTAATGGAGGTATTAAAAAAGGCCTTGGTCACCCTACTGCAGTCTAGGAATTATAGGTTCTCATCCATGGTTTAGCTGGAAATGTGCCACTCAAACAACTGATATATTGCAACTCAGAGCCAGAGATTGTTGCATGTTTGTGAAACTCGGGAAGTAATATTCAAATCAGAGAGCCATGGCTTTAGCAGAGTACTCTACTCTTTTTTTCTCTTCACTGTGGAAATTAGGAAGAGCAAAGAATCACTTTGGAGCAATGCCACAACTCATGCTGTGGAGCTATAGCACTGTTGTAATTGGTGTGAGAAGATGACCACTTATGAAGTAAGAATACTGTGATGTGCCAAGAACTCAACAAATGCGTCTCAAGGGAGTGATGTAACAAAACAATGATTGAGAACAAAGCTATTAAAGTGAGGAATAAATAAAAAATAGAGTAGTACCTTTCACTTCAATAGTGGCATTTACTGAAGGGGAGCCATCGAATACGAACACACACGAATACTCCCCGGAATCATCTATTCTGGGCTTTACAATACTGCAAAGGAAAGATCATGGATCAGAACAGCTGAAAGGATAAAGATAGGGTGGCAATCCAACCATATTTGCCAAGACAGGGAAAATTGGGTCCATCCAGTCTTCTTAAGCTTTATAGGGTTCCTTGTGTATATAAACCAGCATTGGGTCAAAGGAAGTCCACGTGTTGCATTCAGGAAGCACTGAAAGAGGCTCAGACTAGATCTAGAGATATAGTTGCCACCAGTAATGTAGAGACCCCTATGACCAAATCATGTGCTTTCCAGAAAGTGCAACCTTGTATCTGAGACGGTCCTGCTCATGCAAAACGTAATTAACAATCCTATAATGATGGAACTCTAAGACTTCGCCAGATTACAACTCTAAATGGAATCGGAAATAATAATAATAATAATAATAATAATAATAATAATAACAACAACAACTACTACTACTACTACTCTATTTTTATACCCCGCCAACCATCTCCCCTAGGGGACTCGGGGCGGCTTACAAGGGACAAGCCCAAAAATTTCTATTAAAACACTACAATTAAAAACATCATATAAAAGCAATACAACACAATTATAAACAACATAAGAGCAATATGGCTGAGAAAAAGAACATAGCTGAGGTACATAGCTGAGGAAAGAAACATAGCTGAGGAAAGAAAAGGAGAGTACTGCTCAATGTTTCAGTTATGCCCATTTTCACAAAATTTCCATTCCTTCTGACACATTTTGACATCCCTGAAACTCAGAAAAACAAGGAATGATACATGAAAATCTTCAAGCCATCCAATCACTAAAAGGGCTTATTTATTTATTTAAGACATTTATATGCCACCCTTCTCACCCCGAAGGGGGACTCTGAGCGGCTTACAAGATATATATACATACAATATATTGTAATTTTATTAGTAATATTACATGTAATATAAAATATATAATTATAATATTGTATTATTATATTGTATTACATTATAATATTATAAATATTATATATATATACAATATATAATATAATATAATATAATATAATATAATATAATATAATATAATATAATATTAGTAAAGCACTTGCTAGTCAATTGCCAGCATCCTTCCATATACCTTATTGTGGCAACGTACAGCAACATATAAACAAGCTTTCTAGGATTTTGTGTCCCAGACTCAACAAAATCCATACCAATTGCAATTTGTGATGGTTTTTTTTTTTAAAATCAGGTCTGCCTATCTATTAGACTCAATGTAGTTTACCATAGCCTGACTAACCATGAGGAGCCACAAAAAGGCCCAATATTTCAGCAAGAAAAGAGTAACATCTTAACCAGGTTAAACAAAACACATTTCTTGTTATGTCAGCCAGAGTAAAATTAACCTACAGGTATATCCATATTCTTCATGAAATAGGCAATTCATGCAGCACAATCAAATTATCCTCGAACCTTTAAGTGCATGCAGCCATATATTAGAGGTAAATAATTAACAAGTGCCATCTGGGTTATCGCAGCACTAAGGAACCTGCTGAAAGCCTTTGCTGTAGTTCCTGGATCAAATGACAGCAACAAAAAAAAATAGAGCCAGCATCAACTGATTATTAAGATTCAACACTGAAAAATCCCTTGTGACAAAGGTGATCTCCACAGTACCATCTACTAAAGTATATTTGTTCCCTAGGCTCTCAGGTGTTATATATAGTAGATGGTACTGTGGAGATCACCATTGTCACAAGGGATTTTGTCACAAGCATACAGATACGGAGTTGTCTGTTCTGCTCCACAGTCACATATATAAAAATCCCACACCTTATGTGACTGTGGAGCAGAACAGACAACTCTGTATCTGTATGCTTGTCCACTATGTCCTGCCTCATGTACAGAGGAAGAATTGTTGGAGGCATACAGACAATGCCATTGCTGTTGCCCGTTTTTGGTCAGAAAATATTTAGCCACCTGCGCGCCTTCTATTTTATCGGTTTTATGCTTTTGATACGAAATAAATAAACCTTCTATCCCACACAAGAACATGAAACAAAACTTGAAACACATCCAGGAATTCAGGGAATCTGGACAATCATGATTTATCCCCAACCCCACATTGCCAATATTCAAGCCAATCTTCCTGCCCATTTTGGACTATAAAAGGCAAATATATGATAGAGAACATGAAGGATGCAAAGACAGCTAGGCAAGATGAAAATATTCTAGCTTTGAAAACATCTCTACGAAGATAATTCCACTATATCGACAAGCTATGTTTCTTGTATTTCAGTTTCAGCTTCACTGGACTCTTGATCTAGTAGCAAAACTACTCTTAAAGAATGTACCTGTATTCTGTGTTGTTTACAGGCTTCCTAGTGTATGCAATCTCTTCACCATTTTTTGCCCAGTAGCTGTAAACGTCAGAGGTGGTACTCGCAGTGAGGTTGCACTGTAGTATGATCGGTTGTGGAGGTGGAGGGGAAACTTCGGTATTAATGGTCACGTCATTACTGGCATTGATCCTGGGCTCTAGAAAAGAGGGCACATTAAAAGAAAGAGTTGTTGAGACACTACAGGCATATATGCTGTTGACACATCAAAGCTAAAGGGAAGAGGAACTGGGAAAGGAAAGAGAACTACACATGGAACACGGCTTCACTAGCTGAAGAGACATCAAATCATACAGTCAACAGCTGACCAGTAGCGAAAGGCAACAAGGACCAGTTCCCCTATGTGAAGGGAAGAAAGAGAAAGAGAAAGAAAGAGATAAAATCATAATAAAGTACGTATTTTAGGATTCTTGCTCTTTAACATGGCCACAGTCAAGATTAAAACTGACTTTTTTTTTGCATTTTATCAACGGATGAAGCACATTAAAGAAGCTATGTAAACATCATCAGCTTACACCACCATATTAAACATTTCAAATCCAGTACCAATTTCAACCTTGTGTAAACATACAGATACACAGCCCTCCCTTCTAGATCCAGAGCCAAATTGAAATACACTGAAACATGAGCTATCTAAGTTTTAAAGGCCCCATAACATTACTTCCACAGAATGAATACTATTCTAACCGGTATTTTAAACTATGTATAGACACAGAGTTGCCCATCATAATCATAGGGCTTAAACTACAGTTTACTTTACACAATCTACCCCTGTCTAGACCTGAAGAGCTTTCTGCAAGAGAGACAAATCCGAGGAAAACAAAGTACAGTATGTTATAACACTCTGAAAATACACTGCATTTTTCTAAAATGAATTATTAAATCCAATTTTCTAAGTAAGCAAGCAAGCAAGCAAGCAAAAACATGTCATTAAATGCTTTGATTTTTCAATGCCCTATACAAAGTAATCTAAACAAACCTATTTCAGAAGAGATATTGAAACTTTAAAAAACCCGATGAAAGTGGTATTGCAAACAGCAATAGAACTAATGTGGAAAGTGAGAATATTTGAATGTTGGGGTTTTTGGGGGGGTTTCTGGTCATGTCAGGAGTGACTTTGAGAAACTACAAGAGGGACTTGAATGTGTGAATATTTGAATGTGAGTGCACAGTACCTAAAAATATAATTTTGGAACAAGCAGAAACCACTCCAATATCAAGAATATGTAACAGATCTATTACTCCAGCTTTCTGGGCCTAGAAACAACTGCTAGTACCAAGAAGACTAGACCCACTGAATCAAAAGGAAACTGATAAATCAATGATTATGTAAATGCTACTGATTCAATGGTCTATTCCAGTTGCCATTAATAACTGACGTTAGCTCTTTGTAGACTGATTTGATATCAGGAAGTCTAATAACCAGACACTACAATGTTTGTTTGCCTGTCCCTTATTAAGTAGCTGTAATCGGTGAAAGGTTCGGCCCATGTAGAAGAGGAGCTTAATCATCCATTTCCATTTTTCCTGTGTAAACTGTGATCTGAGAAACACAGACATAAGAGATATAGAAGAAGCAAAGAAGTTAGGATTTAACTCATAAGTTCAGCAAAGTTCTCCATTGTTGACTGAAGCTTCCATCTTGAAGCACACAAATAGCATTAATGAAGGGAAACTTTGTGAGTACATTAATGCATAATAATTATTGAAGACAGGAAACAAAAGCATTTGACTAAAAATGATGCACAATAAACCAATATCTCTGTTTAGTGCCTACGTTGTGTTTCATATTTACCCAGTTTTGGAATATTCTGTACTTCCAGAGGAAAAAAGTCTATGCTGGAGGGTTTTACAATACATCCCTATTGTAAATGTGAAGTTGTATCACATTTATGCAAAACCATTCTCAGCTAGAGATATAGACTTAAGGAAAGAAAACTGTTCTGATTGTTATTTGCATTTGATCCTTGCAGTGAGAAATTCTACTGTTTCTTTATCTTGCGTTGATTTTCAGTAACATCATTCTTCTTTTTTGGCTACTGTTTCCTGATTTTTTTTTAAAAACCGCCTTACACAGAAACCCACACACATTCTCCCTTCTTCAAGTATCACTGTTATTAACGTAAGACTTTTAGGAATGTTTTGCCTTTTCTACAGATTCAGTTCACACTATAATCAATTAAAATTATTTCCTGTAAAGAAATGTTCCCCTATGTTCATGAAAGGGTTATCTTTAACACACACAGCAAATAGATTTGAATCCTGTTATTTTTAAAACTCATTTCTTCACATTGAAGTGACTCATCTGATATAAAACATAAACCCATAGCATTGACAAATACTGTGAACATTAGAAGTAGCATAAAGAAATTCAAAGACAGATTATAATTTACTTCTAACCCAAAGTGTTTCACTCAATATAAATGCTATTTAAGAGAAGCACAGGAATGGTAGCACACATACTATCCTTTTTTGGGGGAAAACATCTTGTTAAGGCATTCCTGCTGGACACTGCAACAGAGAACAGAACATATGTAGACATTTATGCATGCCTTGTGATAGCGTGTGAACTGCGAACCATAAACACGACAAAATTAATACAAAGAGTAATTACATACTCATGGTGTCCTGGGAGAAGTATACTTGGTTTTAAGGGCCCTTCCACACAGTGATATAACCCAGAATATCAAGGCAGAAAATCCCACAATATCAGCTTTGAACTGGGTTATCTGAGTCCACACTGCAATATATTCCAGTTCAAAGGAGATGTGGGATTTTAATTTAGATGTGTGGAAGGGACCTAAGTTAAATTGGTTTGATCCTAGATTGAAAAGGCAGCAGTGCAAAAGACCCCAAGAATGCTCAGCTGCAGTTCTTTAAGTCCTGGAAAGGTCCTATTTAGACCTATATTCATTTCTATATTGGTTGTGAGCACCTTAAGGTTAAGGTATTTTTTTCTAATTCAGCCTGATTACTATGAAATCTCTTAATGTATGAAAGACAGGAAATACTATATTTTCCCTCTATTCTTTTTTACAGTGTCATTTCCATAAAAATGTTACAGATTCATACATTCCGCTTCTTAAGACTCTTCCATATTGTACAGGTATATAAATAAAGTAAATCAGGTAAGTAACTTAGATGAAAGAGACTTGGTAAACAAGCAATGGCTGAATTTGCAAAGCAATACACCATCAATAGGTTTGCCTAAAAAGGGATGATGCAAATGTAGGGATTATATTCCCAGTGTCTGTTTCCTAGACACAAGGCAGAAAGCATGCAATGAAGTGAAAGTATGCAAGACCTTGTAAGGCAGCAAATGGAAAACTAAAGGTCACATTAAACAACTCTAGGATTTCAGAGATCCATAGATTTGTCTTTGACAAGCATTGAAATGCCATGACACTGTATGTATTAAGCACATTATTTATTTATTTTATTTATTTATGACATTTGTATGCCACCCTTCTCACCCCAAAGGGGACTCAGAGTGGCTTACAAGATATATATACATACAATATATTATATTATTAGCATAGTACAATATCAGTATTATATATTACTATATTGTACTATACAATTATACTGTAATATTATTAGTAATATTACATGTAATATAAAATATATAATTATAATATCATATTATTAGTAGTATTATATTGTATTATAATAATGAACTGGTGGACTTGTCAGTAACTCAAACCACCACTTTTTATTGTGACTCTATTTCTCAAAGGGCTTTCTTTAAGACAGTTGAAACTCAGGAGGAGTGAGGAAGACAGTATGGGAAGCCAAGGGGAACAATATCTGGACAAAAAAAATCAGTCTCAGACCCCATTTCAATATCAAATGGATGATACTATAGCAATCTTTTTTCCTCTCTGACCCACTTAAGCAGTGTTCCAATGTACCACATGAGCATGTTACATTTTTCATGTTTACATTTCTTCCCCATACATAGCTGTTCAAAAGAAATAAACACACAAATTGATACTCTCTACTATATGACAAATGATACTTTCCCCCACAACAACTGCAATACTGAACAAAACCGATTGGTGTTATAATTTTAGACACCTTATTTTGTAAAACATTTCTATATTAAGACAAAAAAACCCGAGACAATGTTATGCTGTAACTGTAAACATGCTTTAGCCTTTTAGTAAACTTGTCATACTTTCTTGTTAACTACCGTCAAGTTGACTTTGACTTATGAAGATCTCCAAGTCACCCAGAGCTTGCTGACTGGCTTCCTTGAGTCCATCCATCTGGAATACAGTCTTCTTTCCATCCTGCCTTCTACCTTTCTAAGCATCATTGCATAGTGAGTTGTGTCTTCTTATGATATAATCAAAGGACAACAGCCCAAATTTAGTCATCTTGGCTTCTAGGGAGAATTCAGTGTTGATTTTGCTCTAAAAGGCATCCATTTGTCCTCCTACCGGTTCACAATATTCAACATGCTTACAGGCAGTTCATTACAAAGCAGAAAGTGAAATGAGCAGGCAAGAGAAACCGGAATTTTAAAAAATTCCACATATGACCCTATCCTTTGCGGCCAACTGAAGAGGCTCATTTGCAGGTTGCATCTCTATGCGAGAATCATTTGACGGGAACATGAGAGGGCTTTCTTCATACTTAAATTCTGGAATGACCTTTTCTTGGGAGTATTAGGTTCTCATTTGCCTTTTTACAAAACTTGTCTCCTTAAGTTTTATTTAGGTAGATGCTTAATTTGTCTATCTGATTAGTATGACTAATTGTACCTGACTCATTTGTTGGTTCTTGACCTTTGCTTGTGATCATGTGAGATGTGTATGATTAAATCTGAACAATGCATTGTCGAAGGCTTTCATGGCTGGAATCACTGGGTTGTTATAGGTTTTTTGGGCTATATGGCCATGTTCTAGAAGCATTCTTTCCTGGCGTTTCACCTGCATCTGTGGCTGGAATCCTCAGAGGTTGTGAGCTCACAACCTCTGAGGATGCTTGCCATAGATGCAGGCGAAACATCAGGAGAGAATGCTCCTAGAACATGGCCATATAGCCCAAAAAACCCACAACTACCCAGTAAATCTGAACAATTTATTCTGAGCTGTTTTGGGGAGCTATACTGAAGAAAGGTATAAATAAATAAAAAATGTCAGTAGATGCATGTGGTAACTTTGCAATGGCAATGTGAAAAACTTCCAGTTACAACTCAGGGTATTCGGCGGACTAAATCTCATTCTGTTATTGGTTCAGCTCTTTAGCAGCCCTTGTAGTAAAGAGCATAAACTAATATTTGAGAAGGGCAGGAAGCTATCCATTTCCTAAGACTTGTAAGCTATAGGAATCAACTGGTCTCAAATAGCCTGAATTCTGACAATGGTTTGGCAAAATGGCCATTCCTGATATTACACATATGAAGAATGCTCAATAGCTTCCTCTGAATCTCGACTCACCTTTGTACTTATATGCTGGCTCGGCAAATTAGTGTCTTGGCTCTAGTCCAGCATTTCTAAAATACTCATATCCAAATCAGGATTGTTCACTGAAGGGCATCGGCACAGACTGTCAATGATCATTAAAAACAAAAGGAGGCCTTCAGATCTAATTCCCAAACAGATGTGAGAGACATCTAGAGGGGCAAAAACATTGCTTAACATTTGGATTTAATGTCTTCATCTTACCTCACATGAATTTTACTACAGCTACATTTCTGCATTAATCAGAAATTACTTTATTTTAGCAATCACCAACAATTTAGTTTTGTCTGCCTCACAGTTATCTCTTCTGTTGGGATTCTTACTACAAACCCTCTCCTTTATGTTCCATCAATCAATAAACCAGACCTAATGCTTTCTTCATTCATTCTTACCAGAGTATATACTTTTAACTAGTTTAGAGACTCCAATAGGTTCTCATACATCTTGCTCCATGTTGTGGGGGCCAAAGCAGACAAAAAGTATGAGAACCATTTCATGCTTAACATATAAAAGCATAAAGTGCTTCAATTTCACATATTTGGAATTAGACCTTAAACATGTAGTCTATACAAAGAATATTTCACCCAGCTACATTAGCAGCATATACATTAATAAAATTATGGATTTGGAAAGGGCCATGCAGGAATACACAACTACAGTAATTTGAAAGATGTCCAACAAACCCTGTTAGAAGACTTCCAGAATGTCTTAAATTGTATTTAAACATTCTGATTTTGGAGTAAAAATTTAACATATGCTTATGCCAAGATATATAGTTTGTTCTCGAGGTGAACATTCAATGGGCACTGACGCTATAGTGGAATATGCTTATGTTTGAAATTGTAGAGTTACTTTCAATTGGAAGGCAGTTCAGTTCCTACTATCTGTACAATTGAGCTATTAAGAATCCATCTTTCTTGTTACCTGTGAGAAATCCATATAGATTTACCTGATATACTGCTCTACTCATTAAGTGAAATAAAAATTATGAGTTTGTGCAACCTGCTAAGACCCAAGTTTCTATAAAAAGATGTTCAAACAAATGCTACATTGAATAATAAGGAGACTCCTGGCTATCCTTTCTATGTCTTCATTTTTAGAGAAAGCTAAGGTTCAACTACAATCAGACAATCCGTTCTTGAGATGGTTAAGCATATGTGGAAGCAAATGTCCTACTAAAATGGGAAAATCCAAACTTTCACATGTAACAAAACCCAAACAGAAAGGTTTTATACAGAAGTCTATGAACTCAAAACCATGTGAATAAGGAAGGCATTCCACGAGATCCCAACAAAAGAAAATAAAGAATGGTTAGAAATGGTTAGATCAGGGAATAACAGAAAATTGAGAAGGCACTCATGGAGAAACCAGCATTAGGATAGCAGGAGCCTACTATAAAAAATAAAACAAAAGGGAGGGAACAAACAATCCAATACTGGGCTTGTTTTCACAGAGGAACTACAAGTCAATTCCACCGATACTCCCCAGTCCTTTGATCCTAGGAAGGAGGAGACACAGTAAGAAGGTGGCAAACACAGTCAGGCACCACAACTAGAGGAATCATCTGAGGTCCAAAACCAAAAAAAAAAACATGACAAAGACAATGGGTATGTGATACTAAGGGTCACAGGTGAAGGGTAAGGGTCACTCGACTCCCTCTAGGTACTACAGTACTACTACTGTAGGGTACTGAACTCACTCTGAAGGACGCTTATGGTAGCCTGGGCTCGTATCCACGTTATGGCAGGATTTTGCCTCAAGTCATTCCTTCTGGGATCGTTGCTTGCCCTGCACTCGTAAGTCCCAGAGTCTTCCAAGGTAAGGCGAGTAATTCTCAGCACGCTCACGCCATTCACCCCGTAGGCAGTGTTAATGCTGACACGGCGCTTTCGAGCACCATCCCATAGCTGTTTGAAAGATTCAGCCCGGTTGACTTCAGCATACCACCACTGGATCTCTGGAGTGGGGTTCCCAACCACGTCACAGTACAGCTCAAAGGCGTCCCCCGTGAGTTTAGTTTCTGACATGGGCGACTTGACAAACCCAGCTAGAGGGAGGGGCAGCAGAAATGCAGTGACAGACCAGCAGAAAAGAACAGATCTTATAAAGAAAGCAAATGAATTACAGGAAAGAACAAAACTCAAAAAGAGACATGCCCATCTAAGACAGCAGCTATTGCATGAGTTAAGAGAGAAAATACAAGTGTTTATAGCTTGCAAAGAGCTTCAGTTTAGATAGCAGCCTTGCAAAAAGCTGAAGTTGTGGGATACAGGCTGTTAGATTTAACAGTTTTACAGAGTCTGCCATAGGAAGCTGGTTTGAAGAGACTGTAACTGGAAAATGCACATGAACATTTTGTTTGCCTCTTAAAACGCCTGAGGGGAGGCATGGACAAAAGAGATGGGTGCAAATTATATTTCAACCAGAATGCTTGTGTTAAACACAAGTACATTTTTCCTTCATTACAACTTTTAGATGCAAATTAGAAAGAACCATGCTCAGCTACGTATAACTCCACTTTGACCAATAATTTATTCTTTGTTTGTGGTGTAAAGCATCCAGAGATATACTGTGATCCAAATTTCCTGCAGCAACCAACTGCAAGAATTTCAAAGGTGCAGTATTCCCAGTACATATATTAAACAGTCATTGTTCCACAGAGACTGTTTAAACATTAAAGTCCTCGTGTTGCAAAGTTTTCCACGCACATTCACACACTAGTAATTTTGGGCTCTCTGTCTGGGCTTGCATTTTATAATCTATTCATAATTGGTTAATACACAGCATAGCCTTATCCGCGAGGAGGTAAACATAAAACCAACCCAAAACTATCTTTCATGCCCTGCTTCATTTAGACAGCTGGCAATATAAACTAAGATTTGTCAGAACCCCATATCTGTCATCCTCCCACGCTGAAACAAGAAACCAGTTAATAACAGTTTCAACCATTATTACCTATTCTTGATTCTTTCTATTCATATGTGGGAAAAGCCCTTCACTATTTTTCTTCTACATGCATTACAGAGCAGTTTTTAATGGCAACACATCATAAATCAATAAAGTGAAATCTAGTCTATTATATCAAATTACCTCAAGTAACAAGACTGATACTATTTTTTATTGAAGTACTGACCCACATAAGGGACTGCCAATGGATTCATGAGGATAGAGAGACTGAAGGAATAGTTCCTTCAGGAAGCTATTACCATAAGGGCAGATCTGCCCTCATCCCTGGTTACAAAGACCCTGCACCTGACTAACAGGAACAGTGCCTGCTCCTTCCTAGCTCCAAAGTCTGGAGTAAAAAAAAAAAAATTTCACTGATGCAGAATTGTTAGAACTAACCAAACATTGCTCAGACATCCCAAGTACATTGGCACTATGAAAATCGTCCTCTCACAGCCCAGAAAAGCAGTAATAATCAAATCAAGAGAAGGTAAATCAAAAGAAAAACATCTTAGGGTTGGTTTTTTTAAAAAAATATTAAATACTGCTGTTTTCTGGATTATAAAAGTATAGGTTTGAATGTGTGTGCAATATTACAAAACCAGCATAATCTACAAGTAGATACTTCCCTTAATATCACAATTATTTGATTCAAATCACATCAAAATGTATTGCTCCAAGTTTCTTGTAACATACGGTAGTTTACTTACTGGTCAAGCATGATCATGATTTAGACCAGGGGTCCTCAAACTATGGCCCGGGGGCCGGATACGGCCCTCCAAGGTAATTTACCCGGCCCTCGCTCAGTGTCAACCAAAGTCGGAAATGAATTGAAGGCACACAACAACAACAGCAATCCTATCTCATCAGCCAAAAGCAGGCCCACACTAACTGAAATACTAAGAAGTTTATATTTGTTAAAATTGTTCTTCATTTTAATTATTGTATTGTTTCCAAGTGTTTTTGTACTACAAATAAGGTATGTGCAGTATGCATAGGAATTCATTCATGTTTTTTTCAAATTATAATCCGGCCCTCCTAGAGTTTGAGGGACTGTGACCTGGCCCTCTTTTTAAAAAGTTTGAGGACCCCTGATTTAGACATTCTAGAATTCCAAGGAAGAACGGTATACAAATACAGTAAATAATAATAGTAATAATAATAATAATAATAGTAATAATAATAATAATAATAATAATAATAATAATAATGGTGTTTCTGTTTCTGGCTGCTTTATCTATCACATGCTGTTCTTGGCAAGATCTATTCAGAGTGAGCTTATTTTTGCTTTTCCTCTGAGGCTGAATGAGTGCGAGTCACCCAAAATAATCAACTTGGGTTTCCATGGCACAGTGGGGATATGAACCATGGTCTCTAGAGTCATAGTCTAGCACTCAAACCACTACACCACCCTTTAAAAATTTCAGCACTTACACAAAGTGTTGCCAAATACAGCAGAACAAAGAACCATTTGTTTAGGGATCTAATTAAAGTTTTACATAAAGGCATAAAAGCAGTCCCAAAGAGATTCCAAAAACATATAAAGCTCTGTATTCAAATAATCATTTAACTTCACAAATTCTATCCAGCAAATTTCATACTAAATTAATAATGTGACCTAAAAGTATCACCTTACTGAGAGTTTTTCTAGATAACTTTTAATGCTGGGGAAACATAATACTATATGGATATATTATCATGCTGAGCCATTCTTAGTCGGTCAGAGGAAGCTGCTAAAATATGCATAACCTTAATATAAAAGCTATTGGATTCCTCATGCTTTATGCACTCCTCATTAGCTATCAAGGACCTGAAACATTTTAAATGGCTTCTGCTCAAGTCATATCTTATCATTATTCGACCACTGCAGAAAGACAGGTTTGTGTACCTTACGAGATGAATAGCTAAGTTGTTTAGGGTTTGTTTTTTTGTCTAATCACAACAGACCAAAAAACAGATCTTTGGAAAATGCAGTTCTTGGAAACCTTATTTTTAGGAAGGAGGCTTAATTGTATGTCTACACAAAAAGAAAGGCCACACTTTTCTGACTAACCCCGTCTAAAGCAGAGTTTTAATGCTAATGAAGACTAACCCACCAATGGTTTAATGTGCCCATTTGGATCTATAATTAACATTCCATCCAAATGCTCTGGTCTATCTGAACCAGAACCTGTTTCCACTTGACTGCTGTTTGCCATCAAGACCCCTGGAAATTTGGCATGTAAAAGGTTCAAGTAAATCTCAACTGAGTCTTGATCCTTTACACTCTTGTTTGGGGATGACAATCCCTTTGGTTATGCTAGTAAAAGAGCATAGCCCATAAGCCATCTGCAGTCTTTGAGCCTTTCCTCGACACAGTACCTTTGGGGGGAAACTTCTAAACATTTCCCAATTCCATGTCAGGAGCAAGAGGAGACACAAGTCTGCTATTTCCCCCCACCCCCAACAGTTTTAAGTCCAAAGGAGGCCTTTTTCAGTGATTCATGAAACCAGAAACTGGTATGTTCTCTTATTATGTAAAAGTAGATTGAAAATTCTAAAGTCTGTCTCATGACAGCAATGTAGCATGAGATGAGTACAAAAGCCTAAGGCTCTTGTTGGCAACAGCACAATACACCCAAATAATGGATAAAACCAGCACTGACCAGAAACAAAAAAACTGAGGTTGCATGAGAAGTAGAATACAAAGATGGCTTGCTTCCCACATATAAGAGAACGTTAGAATAATGGAATAAAAATTCTTCATTTTTCAGACGATGCGGGAAACAATATATTTGCCACCCAGGTTAAACTCCAATGAAAGAAAACTGCCAACTCATTTTAAGTATTCATTGAGGTCAAAAAGAAAGCTGCACTAACATTTTCTCCTTGCTTTTTAAAAAGGTAAGAAAGTCTAATCTGTTTCATCATGCATTTATCAGTCTGTAAGATTCTGGTTAGACCTGATCTTTCCCCCCCAAACTCTTGTTGCTATTCAACAACAGGATCCTGGAATCTTCAATTTTATCTCCTTTTTATCTTCTTACATGTTCATCTTAAAGTCTTCTTTCCTTGTCTTGCAATGCCTGCTCTTTCCTACTCTTATCAACTTCTGAGACCAAGCAATTCCCTTTCTTAATTTGTGCTGTTAACCTAAAATGTATTTATAAACCAGTTATAGTCCACTGAGCCTTCTCTTTTTACAAATATAGCTCTTACTCATCATCATATTTGTCATACTCACTTTTTGTACATATGTTATCTTTCATGAAATTTTGCCTGGATTTCTATGTACTTCACAGAGAGAGCCCATTATAATGGCTCATTTCAGATACCACATTAAGCTATGGCTTGCACTAACCAGAGAGCAAAGCATGATTTCCTTGTTATTGGGTTGGAATATTTAATCCACATTTCATATAGCTGCTTAAATGGCAGTGCAAGTTACATTTGAGCTTCCATGTATGCAATAAATTTAGGAATTCAAGTATCACATCAAAAAACAGAATTAAAAAATAATGATAGTTACTTCTGGTTTGTTACCCGACAGTAAACTACAGCTTATTTGTTTTCATATTTAAACCAAACCATAGTATGACAACATGCCAAACCATCATGGCTTTTTGACATGATATTTCAACTGAGTTACCTGGTTTAGAAACCATAACACTAGCACCGGTGAGCAGGATTATTATTTATGACTTTGTACAGACAATGTGCACTATCTTACTGAATTTCCCGTAATGTGAAACTTTTTGAAAGATATCTGAAGACCCTGAAAAGGTTCCTAGAAGAGACCATTGTCTAAACAAACAGTAAAGGGTCAATATTCAACTCAATGTGGAATGACAGGAGGTAATTTATTTTGAATTAAAATCACTACCATCATATAACAAACAGATCTAAAATACCTTGTCAAAAATCAAGACAATAAATTGTTATTTCTACCTTTTTGTTTCTTGCATTTCTTTATTAAGGTCTATAAAAATAACAAAATCCTGATGGATCTTAACTTAAGGATAGAATAGTTAGTTGTCTTACCAAGATGCCAAATATGTTCTAAATTGTTTAGTAGTAATATTTTTACTCTCCAGATAGTTTTAATATAGTTTGATCCAAATG